CTTTCTGATGACCACCGTTTTGCATTTTGTCTGCCACTTGCTTTTGAGAAGAAACCCATTTATTTGTATGAACTACTGAGGATTCCATATGCAGAGGGCATTCCCTCAGGCAGGATCTGATGCTTAATGACCACAGGCTGGTAGAACTGCATAAATTAAGTATGTAATAAATACTTGATGGCAACATAAAAATTACTAAAAACAAAAAGGTATTTGTTGAAATGAGACTATATGTTGAGTTTTCTCTGTGCAAGGGAATTAACTAAAATTATGATTGTAACCCCCCCCCAAAAAAAAAAACCCATTCAGGCTCCCATTTCATAGACATCAAAATAATTCCCACAAATCTTCCAAAATGGACACAAGTGTTGGAGGGATGGAGAACCTGATGTTATAAGACTCGAAGGAAACTGAATGCTTGGCATCTGAGAAAAAGGATGCCAGCATGTCTGAACTCATGACCTGCCTTTCTTCCTCCTCCTTCCCTCCCTTCCATCTGTGTGTGTGTGTGTGTGTGTGTGTGTGTGTGGTGTGTGTGTGTGTGTGTGTGCAGGTGCACATGCCCATGTGTGAGCACATGGTGGTCAGAGATCATCATTAAGTGTCTTTTATCCTCTTCACCTTAGTTTTTGAGACAAGTTCTCTTACTGAACCCAGAACTATGCATTTTGGCTAGACTGGCTGGCCAGTGAGCCTCTGGGACCAGCCTGGTTGTCCCCATTCCCCGCTGGGTTACAAACATGTCTCCAGTTCTTGCTTCTGTGCGGGTCCTGAGGGTCTGAACGCAGGTCCTTATGCTCTTATGGCAAACATTTTACCCACTGAGTAATCTCCCCTAGCTGACTTCTTTATTCAAAGTAATATCCTCTTTATCTGACCTGTTTGTCAAACCACACCGGTGAGTTGTATGTGGAAGCATGCAGCTGGCTTGGGGAGACACATAAGACACTATGGTTAGGTATAATGCAGAGCTCAGGTTCTGCAGGTTTGTACTGAACACACGGCAGGGTTAAAATTCCTGAAACGTTGGGAGGGTTACCAAGAAGGTTGCTGTGCTTCCTTGGTAACAAGTATTCTTTAGAATGTCAGTACAAGAAGAGGTGGATTGTTAATAGTTTGCACAAACCAATAGAAACTCCAAGGCATGCTTTGCTAGGATATTTGAGATTAGGAGCACTGATTTCTATAGAAAACAATAGGATTATCAGAAAACAGGGGAAGATATTTCATTGCACAGAAATTTTAATAGAAGAAAATCATAGCACAAAGTTAAGGAAATAGTGAGGAAAGCACCGTGCACACCAAGGAATGAAACATTATGCTAAATCATTTACATCACATGAATCATGACAAATCAGATTGTCTAAGTACTTTTTGATTACTATGATAAGACACCATGACCAAGGCAACTTAGAGAAGAAAGTTTATTTTGTGCTTACAGTTTCAGAGGGTTAGAGTCCATGACCATCATGTTGAGTAATTGCTGTGGATATCGCTCTATATAAATAAAGCACTGATTGACCAGTGACCAGGTAGGAAGTATAGGCGGGACAAGGAGAGAGGAGAATTGAGGGAGGAGGAAGGAAAGGGAGACCGGCTGGAGCCACCGCCAAGACAAGGAAGATGTAAAGTACAGGTAAGCCACGAGCCACGTGGCAAAGTAAAGATTAATAGAAATGGGCTGAATATAAGAGTGAGAGCTAGACAATGACAGGCCTGAGCTAATGGCCAAGCAGTTTAAATAATGTAAGAGTCTGTGTGTTTATTTTATAAGTGGGCTCTGGGACTGGCAGGACTTGGCGGTGGGAGCTGGAGAAAAATTCTCCAGCTACAAGCAATAGGCAGACATGCATGTCACTGAGGCAGAAGCTAAGAGTGTGCATCTTGATCCACACACGTGATGTAGAGAAAGAGATTGAGAGTGTGTGGGCTTCTGAAACCTCAAACTCCATCCCTACTGACACATTTTCTCCTCTAACAAGGCCACACCTCTTAATCCTTCCCAAACAGTTCCACCAACTGGCAACCAAGTATTTAAATATATTAGTCTATGGGGGTCATTCTCATTCAGACCACCACATTCTTCTCCTTGGCCCCTATAGGCTTGTGGCCATATCATAATGTAAAATGTGTTTAGTGCAACTTAAGTGATTTGTGTGCACTTTTATATGATTGATAGACTTTAATGTTTTTAACCACTAGTAACTTTTTATGTGATACAATCATTTGATGTCAAGCTGCATTTACTTATTTAAAAGAAAAATATTTTGATAGATGATCTTACTATGTAGCTCAGGCTGGCTCTGGAGTTTCTATCATTCTACTTCAGTCCCCTGGGTGCTGGGATTATAGGAGCTAAAGCTGCTTCTAAAATGCCACTGGTAGTTCTTTGGTCTTGCCTTTTACCAACTTTAGAAGCTGTGTGCCCAGTAGGCACTCGCTGTACTAGTTAGATACAGTTACCTAAACAGCCATAGAAAATGAGAACATTAGATGACTTTTGGCCTCTCCTCCTATTGAGTTTGCCTTTACTGCACAGGATGGTGAAACCTGTATTTATTTTCTTCCTACTGTATGCCATAAATGACATATACAGCCCTGAAATAGGACTTCATTGCTTTTCCTGGAGAAAACAATATCATGAATTTTACTGAATGCTCAATATTCTTGACATTTTTACTGAGTTTGCCCGAGACAGCCACTATGGAAATCAGTGTGGCAGTTCCTCAGGAAGATGGGAATTGATCTGCCTCGTGATCTATGCCACTCTTGGGGATGTGCCCAAGGGGTGCTTTATCCTATCACATGGACACTTTCTCTACCATGTTCATTGCTGCTCTATTCATGATGGCCAAAGATTAGATATGGCCTTGATGTTCCTCAATGGAAGAAATGGATAAAGAAAAAGTGGTACATTTACAGAATGGAGTATTACTCTGTTATTAAAAAAAATGACACCATGAAATTTGCAGGCAAATGGATGGAACTAGAGAAAAATCATCCCGAGTGAGGTATCCCAGACCCAGAAAGACAAATATGGTATGTATTCACTTATATGTGTTAAGTCAATGACTTAGCTGTTAAGTCAATAATAACTAAAGTAACAATTTATAGAACCACAGAGTGTAGTTATAAAGGACTAAAGAATATAGGCAGATCTTGTTAGGAAAGGGAAATAGAAAAGAAAATATGTAATTATAATTATGGATGGATGGGGGTGGAGCAGAAGGATCAAGTAGGGAAGGGGGAGGGGTTGTGGGAAGAATACAGGTAGAAACAGCTAAAATTTAGGGGCATTTGAAGGGTAATCGAAACAATTCAGTAGAAACTTCCTAAAATATATACATATGAGAAGGCAATCTAAATGAAACTGCCAAATAATGGGGGAGAGCGAGCCACAAATGGCCATCCCTTATCACTAAATAAAGTTTCCAGTACTGGGAATGGATTGAGTTGTTGGCCAAAGGGGTCCCATGGGAACTCCCAAACAACCCAGGCTGTTGTTGCCAAGACGATAAGTTTCTCTCCACAAACTGACAGCAAGGCCTCACTGCTGAAGACAACACCCACACAACTCATTGAACATGGAGAAGTCAAGCTGGTGCCTACACAGAGCCTTCAACCCTATGTTCTAGTGTCCCTGGTACTGGAGGGTACTCCGCATGCTACCAAAAACGAAACATAAACACCAAGCCAGCCACAAATCCTTTCATCTACAATAGTGTCCTGTCTGCAAGGCGTGCCAGTGCAAAGGTGGTGTAAAGACTGTGGAAGCAGCCAGCCAACACCTGACTTGACTCAAGGCCCACTCCATGAGATGGAGCTAACTCATCCCTGACACTGCTCGGGCCACCAAGAACCAGAGACTTGAGAGCCCAGGGACCTAGGGTAAATCCAAATACTAATGGTCTAAAAGACACCCCACCCCGCAAATCCCTATAGTGATACAACGACTACTGATATTCCGCTACATTCATAGATCAATTTCTTGTTCAGCCATCATCAAAGATGCTTCCTCCTGCAGCAGATGGGAATAACTAGAGACCCACGGCCAGACATTATGTAGAGAGTAAGAGACTTTGGAACACTCAGCTCTAAATGGGACGTCTCCATCAAATCCTTCCCCCTCAGAGCTCAGAGAAACCCTGCAGAAGGGGAGGCAGAAAGAGTTTAAGAGCCAGAGGGGATGGAAAATGCCAAGAAAACAGGGCCTTCTCAATCAACATGAGCAAAGCCCATATGAGCTCACAGAGACTGAAGCGGCATGCACAGGTCTGCACTCGTCTGCACCAGCTCCTCTGTGAACATACCATGGCTTCCAGTTTAGTGTTTTTATGGGATTCCTGAGTGTGAGAACAAGTGGGTCTCTGATTTTTGTTCCTTTTCTGTTGGTTTTTCCTATCCAACGTCGATGGATAGCTTTTGTTTTATATTAATATTATCTCTTAGAAGCCTGTTCTTTTCTAATGAGAGACAGAAAGGGAGTGAATCTGGAGGGGAGGGGAGAGAAGAGGAGGAACTGGGAGGAGTAGAGGGAGGAGTAGAGGGAGGGGAAATCATAATCAGGATATATATGTGAGAAAAGAATCTATTTTCAATAAAAGGAAAAAAAGAAAAGAAAAGGTCCCTGTATAAAAGACAAGCAGAGTGGAGAAGTGTGCCTGCCTCTCTTCGGCCCCACGGCTGTGCTGGGCATTTTATCCCCCGCTTATTGTTAATTTTTCAGCACACACCTTCTGGTATTTTTCATTAAATTTCTTTATCTGTGTGCATATGTGTGTGAACACACACATGCCATGGTATATGTGTGGAGGTCAGAGGACAATTTTCAGGATTCTGTTTTCTTCTTCTGCCATGTGGGCCCTGGGGATTGAACCGGCATCATTAGGCTTGGCAGCAAATGCCTTAACCTGCTAAGCCACCCCTCCAGCTGAAGTCTCTCTTTTAACACCATCATCACTATCAACCCACATACTTTAGACAATAATTTACTCACAAAGGAAAGACACCACCAACTTTATTAATAACCAACATTTTTATTAGAGCAGTTACAGTTGTGGAAACTGTACATTATACATTTTGGTTTCAAGGATTATAAATTAAGGAACTCACTGGTAGGGCGTTCTTTTTCACAGCAAGAAACTTGAAATAAACAAAGTCATGTTTTATTAAGTACATTGGCAGACTTCATGTGCTGTCCAAAATGTAGAGTACAGTATAACAACCTATTAGAAAGATCCTTCATGGAAAATACAGCTGTGCACATTTTAGAAAAATACCCACAATTTGAGCTTTGTTTTAAAAAAGCTTATAAATCATATATATATTTATAAATGGAGCCAACATGCTCACTTTATAAACATCCTTTAGTCCTCTGTTGCCCATTCTTTTCAAAGCATTCATTACACATTTAAATAAACACTTAAAAGATTAAATATTCTATTTTCTTTAAAAAAAATCCGCCTTCCCAGCATACGGAGCTACAGGGGTAAGAAGGGGTGGGGACAATGTGGAGACTGACATAGGGACTCAGTTTGTTCTTGAGTAAAAATGGACTTTCTAAATTTAAAAGTCAAAGCAAAATGTAAAAAATAAATATACAAGTTGTAATTTTATTTTCACCTGCTCTCTTTCTGCCTTATTTAACCCGTCTTGGCCACACCCAGGAATTACTTACTCTATTGCACTTGTGTGAAAAAACCGCCACTGGGTCACCACCCTGCAAGTGACGAAGCATGCAGCCCACACCTGTGCTGACCTGGATTTACACACACCGGCTCTTCCACACTAAAGAGGCAGCTGGGGGCGGAGAGACTCGGCTGACACCATGACATCATGGCTAACATCCAGGAAGAGATCCCCCTCCACAAGGTAACATCCTCAAGAGACTCAGACATACCTTTCCTCCCCTGATTTCTTTTTAAATAATTATTTTTTTTTTATAAAGATCATATAGTTTCTCTAGGTAAGCATGCTTCTGAGTAAATTATATAATAGAAAAAAAAAATCAATGTCAGAACAAAACAGGACAGCAAAAGACAAATATTTAAAACAAAACCGTCTATGTCTTTTAAAGTTTAAAAGAAGATTACAAAACAACTTTGAAAAATGTGGAGGGCAGAGAATCGAGGAGCAGCGAGCTTAAGGAAGCGTCTATCTACCTGAATGCATTCAACCAAAATTTGGGGGTGGGGAGGGGCGGGTGGAGAAAGAGAAGGGTAGCTATTAATAGACTCTTGCTTGACTTTCATCGGAATTCACATAGCCACTGACAACATTTTATTTGGTTGTAACATACGTCAGCAATGAAACCGAACCCTTAACCACCGATGACTGCAATCCATGCAACATTTTGACTTAGTATTCTGTTGTCTTTCAGCTTTTAAAATTAAGCACCTCCTGAGTGCATCAACAACTCACCTCAGTGATGTTAAAAATATTTAAAATTAAATTATTTCTTTGGAAGGTATAGTACCTTCAGATCACTACATTTTTAAGATAAATAGCCTTTGATGGGTTTAGAAAGAATAAACAACATGAAAATGATATATTGCTATTAAAATAAACACTATGTTTCTCCTTTTTAACTAGTCTTTTGTTGCTGCTTTTCCTTGAGATGCAACCTGTGTGTTTTCATCGATCCAGGGCTGCAGGTGGACGATGATTATGCATCATATTTAAATAAACAGCGAAAATGAGCAGGGTCGTGCACAAGCAAAGGAAATGTTCCCTCCCAGAACATTCCAGGAGATGTCAAAGCAGCAGGTCACCGCAGAAGACTGCTGAGTGATGCGGCTACCTACTTCTTCTAATGAGATAGGAGTGAAGGTTGGAACCGTGCCCACCGCAACACAATCCTCAGACGGCATTCCTTGGGCGGTCTTCTCTGCCCAGCTCCCTACTAAAAACGTCAGATGGTAAAATGGTAAGGCAGCTGTTGACTTCCATCAAAAAAAAAAAAAAACAAAAAACTGCAGGTCCATACATTTCCAGTTCAGTCACACTCTGCTAGGACAGATGGAGGAGCCAATGCCAAGAACTTCGCCCGATGGGGCTGCTTCAGCAGATTTTAAAAAAGAATCGTTATTAAGCTTTGCTCTCCAACATGGCTGTGTGCTTCAGCTCCCAGAGGACCCCAAAAGACACAAAGCACTCCTGGGGGACCTGAACAGTTCCTCTGGCTGAATTTTCCAAGTTTCATCTCTCTCGTGATCCCATCCCAATTCCAAGCCTCCTTGCCTGAGTCTGACTGGGGTGTGCCGTTTAAAAGGCTGAGGACACCATGGCAGAAGTGTGGGCTAACTCCACTAGTTGTCATGATTTCACTGAGGGGTCAAAACAGGTATAGCATTAAATAATCATACTGAGTCAGGCACAGCCAACGTTAAAGTGAAAGCAATGCCATTGATTAAAAAAAAATGTAAATTGGAATCGGAGGAAACAATGTTACTGTAATTTTGTGTAGACATTAAGGCTACGCTTACCTTTCCTCATGCCAATCAAGTCAGAAAGTGAACAAAAAGAATGGCCAACCCGATATTCAACAGCATGACCAGGACAATCATGACCGAATTAGGGCCCTGAAGGAGAAAAACAGAACAAAACAAGCACAATGTTTCCATGTCAGTAGGGGCTGCTTTACACAAACCCATTCCCAGAACCAATGACCAGAAATACAAGCTTACACACATGGCCGAAGAAACTAAGCCATGAGACACAACAGCCCTTCCAAAAGGTGTGAGCTAAAAGCCAATGCTACGCTTAGATGGAGTCACTGTTCAACTTCCCCTTAAAATTAACCCAGATTTGAATTAAGTTAAAAAGTATTTTCAAGCTGGGTGTGGTGGCACACACCTTTAATCTTAGCGCTCTGGAGGCAGAGGCAGGAAGAGGTCTATGAGTTCAAAGTCAGTCTGGTCTACACAGTGAGTTCTAGACTAGCAAGGCTACATAATGAGACCCCATCTCAGAAATGTCTTTCTCTGCAATAGCTTACTGTATTTACCTCACACAACTGGTGGCCTCGTTTGGGAAAGGTCACTGGAAAGGAGTTGGGAGCTCATGGGACTCAGATGCATAGCTGTCCTTAGGGTGTGACAGATTCAGAAGGGCAGTCCCTCATAAAGGCAATTGGAAAATAAGAATAAAATTTGAAGAATTTATTCCTCCAAGGAAAAATTCAGGAAAACACTCAGTGAGGTGTTTTCACTTTTATACGTCTTGTGTATCCTGGACTGACCTTGAATTGAGGATCCTCCTACTGTGCTGGGATATAGGTTTATATCACCATACCTGGTTTATGAGGTGCTGGGGATTGAACCCAGAACTCTGTACATGCTAGGGAAATACTTTACCAAATGAGTTACAGGCTCAGCCCTCGGTGAGGCTTTCTTAACTCTTGTTTTTTTTTTCAGGGCCTCCTTCTGGGTCCTTCTCCTCCCTCCTTTAAAAACCACAAATGGGAAGTTGAATACCTCAACCTCCAGAAGTTATTTTTCCAGGTCTGACTTTTTGTTTCTAGACTCAGAATCAAACCACTGTAGAATCAAATATATTTAACCTAATGGTAAAATCCTATCTCTGTAAATATCACTAGAATCAGTACCAGCCAACCCAAGGCCACCAAGCATCTATTTGTTTAAGTGAAGTTTGTATGACCTAGTTATTCAGGTCTGGTGATACCTGAAGAATCTGCTTTTATCAGAAGTATAAGATCTTGGTATTTTTATTACTATTATTATTAAAATAGCATTAATTCTTAAATAGTAGTGTTTTAGACTGCTTTTATGTTGTAGGTAAATTAACCAGCTTTTGAAAAATTTATTTTTATCTGTATGACTATTTTGCCTGAATGTTATGTATGTGCTTTTGGGGGTCTCTGCAAACACCATGACCTACAGGTGTTGATTTGAGAGAGGCAAGAAGGCAGTCTGGCTCAATATGATTCAGTAGCTGTTGTTGGTTCAAACTTTGATAGTCTGACCTTGAGTAGTTTATTTTAGGAATATTTAAACACAGCACAATTTGGAAAAAAGTTTCCTGGTGCTAATTAACTCAATCTCGTATGCACAACAAAGCTTAAAACTTAACCACATTGAAACTCTTTGTACAACTGATGTTTTCCATAAAAGATGAGTTCAACAAATTAACTGAGGAAAAAAAGACTCAAGATAAGAGTCTGGGGGAGGAGCCAGTGTGGTCTCAGCCACACAAGACAGTACAAAGCTAACCGGGCTGTCAGCCACATCCACTCTTAGCCTCCTGGGCAGAAAACAGGTTATACATCTCTCCATTTAAGGAGACCACCTTGTGTGTTTAACATTCCCGAGTCCCCCAGTGCTTATCTGTGACTACAAGAACCACTGTGCCACCTACATGTGCCCATGTGTGTGCTTGGTCTGTAGATACCAGAAGGGGGCACTGGATCTACTGGTGTTACAAGTGGTTCTGTGCTTCTATGTGGGCGCTAATACCTGAACCTGAGTCCTCTGTAAGAACAGCATGTGCTCTTAACTGCTGAGCCATCTCTCTAGTCAAAATTAATTGTTCTAATTAAGTTTACACAAAAGGAAGTAGTTTCACTGAGTACCACACAAGTCTGTGCTGAAACAAGGTGACAGGGGGCATCCAATGTGCCTTCTCTGGTGACAGGACTGAAGAAGAGTAAGGAGGTCTGGTCAAGTGTTCATCTTCCAGGCCGGAGCTTAGCTTAGGTCACCTACCACTGACTGAAGGACGTCCCTGCCCTGTGTTCACGGGCCACGGCTCTCTGGTGGAGGTCAGGGTGCTCTGTGCGTTCTCTGTCGTAACACTTGTCACATTTTATTGCCATCTGTTCTTACACTGTCACCTTCCCACCTAGACTAAGCTCCACAGTCTCAAGGGCTTTGGCTTTGTCCTCTCTGTGTCCCCAGTGCCTGACTCTTGGGGTGTCCAGTTCCTCCACGCAGCCAGTGCTGAAGGAGAACCCTCCAGTGTCCAGCACTTCCCTAGGTGCTGGTGGTCTGGATGCTGAACAAAACAGATGATGTCACTGCATTGAAGAACACATTGTCGGGAAAGCGAGGTGTGGGGACTGAAGACAGGGCCTTTTGGGGGAGGGACCACAAGAAGAAGCCACCCTCCACTCCTTAAGCCCCAAGCGGATGGAAGAAAAAACAGGTTTTAAATGCCAGGCAGAAAGCTAAGCATCTCTAAGTAGATTATCACTTAGTTTTTATTTATTCTTCACACGAGATCATTAGTTTCATTCTAGAGGGCTTCAGGAGGATAAGTGCATTAGAATATTTACAGACTATTTACAAATCAAGGTTCTTTCGAGCCAGAATTAAATGCCAGCCTGTTCACTTGGGTGCTTTGGGCTCTGTTCTCTAATGCGCCTAAAGCTCAGACCTTAGTTTAAAAACCGTTTCTAATGAAGTTCTCCAAGGCAACATTTTCATCTATCACCTGTAATTCCCAGAGAAACAAAATCTTACTAACTTCCAGCTACTCAATTAATAGGTGACCCGGGCACGATGGTTGGTGCTTGCAATCCTCGCGGTCTGAAGGCCGGCACAGGAGAAATGCCATCAGTTCAAGGCTAGGCTGGGCTACAGAGTGAGGCTCGCTGCAATAAATGGTGAGTTCTACTCTATGCAACTGCTCAACCAGGGCAAGCTTAAGACATAGAAACTCTTAGAGCCCAAAATACTAGAGAACAATTTTCACTATCCCATCTGAGCATAAAGAGTGTGGAAATGTTAGGGCGACTGTATGCTTTGATTAGACTGTATTCTCAAGTGTGCAGACGATTTGGAGTTGCTTCAATTTCGGGCTCATAGATTTAATTCCTCTCACAGATAATGGGTACATGAAGCATGGAACAAACCTGTATGGGGTTCAGGCTCTGAGGAGGACCCAGGACAAAGAGAATCACTGAGTCCCTTTGAAACCGACATCAAAAGCTGATGCGAGGGCTGCGTGTGTAATGTGGTGGCAGAACACCTACTGAGCACGTAGGAAGGCCTTGGGCTCGGTCCCAGGAAAAGGAAAAACAAAACAAATATAAACTCTGTTTCAATCTCTAACTCTCAATCCATAAACCCTGGTAAGGTGCTGTGGAGTTTACGTGAACTCTTTTGACCTGATTCGTATTCTGGATTTGTAGATTGTCTTGGGTTGAATTTAGCAACTTATTTACTCTCTTTCTTCGAAGGTTTGGCCCACATCTCATTGTACTTGTAATCTGGTCAATGAATAATGAATGAATGCTTTTTCCAGAATGAAAAATACATACATATGTATTTCCTACTGAACACACACATCTATTTATCCTGTATACACACTAATACACAGGCATTTTTAGCCTACCAGTGTAGCTCCTTTTAGGAAGCCATTAAAGGATGACCCAGGGAAGATGAGTGTAGACCAGCATCGGGAGGCTCCAGCAGCAGCCAGGTGAAAAGGAAAACCTGGGATTCTATGTTTAAGTGGCAGGTACCAAGCTGTGACTTTGGTTCTCTTCAGACACCTTAGGCAGGGCCACCGGGTGAAAAAGCTTTACGGCGAAGTCCCACAAATACGACTGTGGTGGCCAGTGGCGGCTTAAAATAGCAAAATGAAGAAAAGCTTAGTCCTGTTTGTCCAGACTGACTGGGACAGGTGTGACAGGGAGCAGAAGCAGGGCAGACGCTCAGCACGGATCAGAAGAAACCTCCGGCCGTTAGGAAAACAAAACAGAGGGTTTCACACTACGAGAAGATAACCAGCTCAAGTTGACCCTGGAGGGGCCCCCAGGTTCTCCAGGAGGGCTGTAATCCCTGCGGGAGCCTACCTTCTACCGCTTGTGTTTGTTAAGTAATTAATTTCCTCTAAGTGTTCGTCTGTGTCCCACAAGATTTTCTACATTTTCTAGATCCACATCCAGGGTGAACATGAAGAAATGGAATGTATTGAACCATTTATGAACTATTTATACTTCAACCAGTCTGTCATTCATAATGATAATAATAAGGCCCTTTGAGCATTTATTCCACTCAGTACTGCATTAAGAACATAACAATTTCTCCAGCTGCTCACAAGGAGTACCGGCTGATTTATTATGGGCATCCTCTGCATGCCTGCATTTGTGTGGATATTTCTATGAATTTTAAACTATTCATTATAAGCTCTGAACTTGCACAGTGCTCTTGATTTCTCAGAAGAGTAGGCAGCACTCCACTGTTTCACCGGCCATTCACCGACTACTCTAATGGTGATGTGTCACACTTCCTAACTCCAGGGAAGAGGGCTGGCATTAGCAATGAAAGGCAGCTTCCTGCTGCTATCAGGAAGGCAGCATTTTCACATGGAGGGCCAAGTCAGTCCTGCCTTCCAGGTCTGGATGATCATTCACAGGGCAGTCTGAAGTTCAAGAGAGATGCAGGGCTGCTGAGGTCATCTCATACATATGTAGCTTGTGTTTTGATCAGTGGACCTGAGCTGGAAGTTGCTTGGCTTCCTTCAGGAAACAGCAGGTTCTATGCATTGGTAAAACCTATGCTTTTTCTAAATAAATTACAGTGGTATTGAGTTTACAAACACACTGTACTACTAAAGGGAACAGCAGTATTTCTTTCCCTTATCACTGGCTGATGAGGGGGATGCTGGACACATGCTTCCTCTGTGGCATTTGGGCAATTAAATGCCCTACTGGATAGGCAAAATGTGATGTTGATGGAATGGCACTGTTCAGATTTGCCCCTTGTTAACCAGGCAAATGGAATATCCAGGAAACCTTCTTCATAAATATTCACGGTGAATGTCTGAGAAGTAGTTGTTTCACGCAATGAGTCAATAGTGGTAGAATTAGAATAACAGATAATGAGCTATATCATTGTTCAAACATTTTAAAAAACAAATGCTTACTCAATACTCAAGTGTCTCATGTTGGTCTGTCTTAAAAGCCATTTACTTCCACAGAAGTTGGCTCTCAGGAAGTTATTAGTCTAGTTGGATCTGATTAATTTATATTTAGCTAATGAAAAAGTGAAGAATGAAAAAATAACCAGTATTATATATACATATATTAGCAAAAATTAACATAAATTAATTCAAAAGATGAATGTTAATTGTTTAACCCTATGAATAAATGGAACAAAACTAAGAAACTGATGGCTAGTATATAATCTATCTACTTGCCCAGGATTCCACTTCAAACCTTTACATACATGTTTCTGAAACTGCTAGTACCCATCAAGTGGGTGTGTCTTACTCCCAGTGTATTTCACAGTGAACCTGACCGCCTTGAGGCATATAGGACCAAGCTAATATATCAATTTATTTTAAATCAGTCACTTGAAAAAAAGAATTCTAAAAAAGTTCAGATCCCATAAACTTTACAGAACTTGATAAAATCCCAGTTCCATATAGTCCTCACTGAATCAATCTCATGTCAAGGAACATGTAGTAGACATTTATCAATAACACAAATTTTACTGGTTAAAAAAAAAATCTTACCTGTCCAGGACACATCAACAATGGCTAGAATCTATCAGACAGCCGAGTCTGGGAACATCCACACTCAGAGATGAGTTATAAAGTAATGACATGGTTGTAAAAAGTTCCTTATTTGGGAAGAAAAATATTCTTATTGCAGAGCCTGGTGCATTAAGTAAAATATAGACTGCATGTTTATGAGAATTTACAATGGCTGCGAATGATGTTCCTTTGTGTAAAAAGCCAAAGGAAGGATCAGAGTTCCTAGTTGCTAAGCAGAGAGGCGTCGGCTGTGGGTAGTGGCCATGTTTCCCTTCTAGGGGCCACTGAGTAGGTAATTAAGACCTTCACTAAGACATGCTGATAATGTTTGCTAACCTGTGAGACCATCCTGGGCTGGCCAGGCCTTAGCCCCATCTGGATTGTCTGCAGTTGGTGGCTGAGTAGGCTCAGGATTCCTGCCCAGAGAACTCTTCCCTATCATGAGCTATAAACATACATGTTCTGTTCGACTCGAACAACCCTGTGGACCTTTGTCAGCCCAGCTGTGGCCAAGATGGAAAACCGCCCACCCCATACTATTCCCCGAACAAACCCAAGCGCAGGGCTCTGGTGAGACTTACTGAATTGGCTTCTTTTTCCGAAGGGCAGGAATCACTGCTTGCTGGATTCTTTGGTATAGCAAGTTCAGACTTCTTGGCTTTAGGCTCAGCTTTGCTTTCTTTGGCAACTGGTTTTGTCCCAGACGGAGAGGGACTCCACTTGTTAGGTGACGGCCTGTGTAGCAATGCTGAGGAAGACTGGCTGGCTCCACTCTCATCCTCCCCTTCTTCTGGAGGATGCTGGGGTGTGTTCAGTTTCACATAGTAGCCGTGATACTGAGAGTGCAGCTCCCCGTTGCTGGGGTTGGGGACATGGTGGCGGCCAGAGTACTTGGGCACGGTTGCTCCGAGTTCCTTTGAAGGAGCCTTTGACGTCAAGGGCTTATTGACAATGGCTGTCACCTGCTCCTCGGTCATGCTCCTTCTATCTTGACTGAGTCTGGCCCCTGAGCTGGGGTTCTGTTTCCTCGTAGGCTTTGGGGAGGAAGGCTGGGGAGAGTGACTCTGTTTGGGACTTGCTTCAGGGGACCTGGGGGGTGTCGTGCCTTTGCGATAAAAATGTGGGGATTCCTTTGGTGATGGTGGCTTTTCTGGTACCTTTTCTTCTGGATTTTCTTTAACGTCTACCCCCTCCTGAAATCTTTGTTTGATATAATCAGGGCCTGGAAATGAGGAACAGAAAGGAAAGGAAGGCGATAAAAAAAAGCAAGTTGTAAGGGTTTGCAATCTAGGTGACTATCATTTTGCTAAAGGAGACCAATGTTCCTCCTCTTAAAGATATTTATACAGTGTGAGCACGTTTCAATATCCAATGAAAAGATTGCTGAAAGATGCTTTCAAGATAAAACTTGTCACTATTTATATTATACTGACATCCATAAAAGACAAAAAAGTTTAGACTTCTCCAATATTTCTATCATTTCTTATTGGAAGAACATGGTTGTTTGGTGTAGAGCAGAACTCATGCTGATAGAAATTCTAACCAATAAAATTTATTTACCCCAATTAGGATAATTAAAGCCCAGGAAGCATGAACTTGAATAAAGAAATAATCTTATTTTTGTGTGATCAGAAGTTTATAGAGATCTACACTGTATAGGAAAAGCCTGCTGAGAATGTATTTTTAACCATTGCTGGAACTTTTTGGTCAGGAACAACTTCTGCCTTTAAGCTGAGCTCTTTAGAATAATGCCCGTGCAGTCCATTCACAACAGGGCCATGTTACCAGCGGTGTCCGTGACATGATGGTCATCTCTGGCTCTGTAGTCTCAGGTTCTGTGTTTCATTTTTTAAAAAATATACTTCAGGAACATTTATAACAATTAAAAAATCAATTTAAAATGATTTATTTTTGAAAGCAGAGACTACAGAAACAACTCAGTAGATAAAGTGCTTGCTAGAAAAGCATGAGGACCTGGGTTAATTCAGGGGTGCTTGTGTGAACCTGCAATCCCAGCACCAGCAGGGCATGATAGACAGGACGCTCCTGAGACTTGGCTTAGCCTAACTGGTGAGCTCCACGTCCTAGCGAGACCTTTTCCCACAAGAAGGATGGCGTCTGACGAATGAGATGATGCTGTCCATTAGCCTCTACATGCGCACACACATCCACACACATCCACACATACCTACACACAGCCACACACTTCAAAAAACCACCCGCTCCACTGTTCCTTTATCTTGACCAGCTCATAAACTAAGAGGGTGCCTGGCATGAAGGCACAGGCTGTGAGGGCTTCCCCACGCCAATGGTCTAGAGGTGGGGGCAGCTAGGGAGTCAAGGCAGCTCTCAACTGTGGTGCCTTCTCTCTGGGTGTGTTAGCTCGTGGCCCTTCCCCACAACCATGTAATGTGCTACCACTCTAAACATCACGAGGCGAAGTCAAAGCCACACTCAGCAGAGTGGCCATTTCTTGTAAATGGGCAGAAGGCGACACACTTTCAGACGTCATTATGAGAGAAACCAGAGCCACTGGCTTGTGCAGAGAGCCAACCAGCTCTTGTCAACACCAACCACTTCATTTCCCCTTTCCTTCCTATGTCCAACCCCATCTCTCATTCCCAACTAAAGACATACAAAGGGGCTGAAGAACAATTATCCTTAACTGTGAAAACACACTTGCACATTGACACTTTTAATTGTTCTTCCATGGTAGTCTGAGTTAGCAAATTATAGTGATATGGTTGCCCTTTATTTTATAAAGCTTTTTTTTCTCCCTTGAAATGTACAGCCTCACCCAAGTCATAGGAAGTAGATATTATCCCCAGTCTACTGATGTGGAAACAGCTCGAACAGCTGAAAAGCCAAGTCACACAGTTCCTGGGATCCTTTACGATTAAGCACAATGCCGCACATAAGGCAACAGTTTCTTTTTTCTTTTTAATTTTTTGAGATTATAATTACAACATTTCTCTCCCCCTTTCCTTCCCTTCAAACCCTCCCATACACCCTTCTCCACTCTCCTTCAAATTCATGCCTTTTTTTTTCCACAAATGGTTATTGCATATATGTATATACTCCTAACTATAACCTGTTAAGTCTGTAGAGTGTTACTTGTCTGCGTGTTTTCAGGGCTCACGGTTTGGCACTGGACAATCAATTACTGTGCTTTCCTGGGAAGGACCACCTCTTCTGCTCCCAGCTCTCCTCAGTTGCCTGCAGCTCTTTGTGGAGGGCTGAGGCCTCCTGGGCTTTTCCCGGTCCAGTTTGGCATGTCTGTTGGTGTGCTCCTTGTTCAGTTCACCTCTGGGTTCACGTTGGTGAGACTTTCTGACAATGCCCCCTTGCAGATGGATTTGGCCAGAACACAACAGTTACCACCTCAACTTCTATTCTCCAGAAGATAAACCCATCTCACAGCCTTCAAGCATCCCCAAACTTGTCAACAATTGAGATTTCCTTTCTGAACCAACAATTTGGTTAAGTACCTTCTTTTCTTTTTGAGACATGTAAACTTATGTTTACAAAAAAACACTTGCCAATATCTTTATATCAAAATTAAGACCCACTGAAGATTAAATTGAACTTACATATACACACAGGAAAGAGTGGAAGATATAATGGATGCTGCAAAGCATCAGTGACACATTCTAAAAGATGGAAGGAAAACATCAAGAGCCACGAAACTTTGAGAAGTAAAGGTGTCGAAAAGTGCATGTTTCCTTTAGAGATGTGAGGCTGTGACGCCCCCCTTAAGAACTGGGTTTCTCCCGGGGACCACTGATCCACTTTCACTTATCATGGGGAGCTGATCAGAAGTAGACAAGGGAGTTTCCTTGACAGATCCCAGCAACATGACTCCCCGTGGAGGATGGGGCTGGTGCCAACATCCACAGCTGCAAGAGGCTGTTTATTGGGGAGAAACTTGGCCTGTTTAGTAATGCTGGCCCAAGACCACACTTAAAGTCATATACTTTAGTATGTGTGTGTATACACCTACATATACACACATATGTAAAATAACACTTGAATATGAACATATTTTCAAATGCTTTTTATAAACACTCAAACAAAAACAACCCCCAAAACCTCTGCATATGAATTTATACTTATGAATCGTATCAGGAGGCTACGGTGAGAAAGTTGCAATAACTGTGAAACTCAAATTTGGACTACACTGAATGTGAGGACTCAACTCCCAGAGACCAGATGAGTCACTTCGGTCCCTTTTAGAAGCCTGCCATATTGCTTCTTTGGACAGTTGTCTTGTCTTAGGAGTGCTAGGAAAGGTGTGTCTAGCATGGTGTCTTACGACGACGACTCTAAGACTTTTTGCAGATGTTGAGCTACATCTATCACTTGGGTTGCTGATGTTGCTGAAAACCTGCTGCATTTAGATATTACTAGAATGGTGGAAGTATATTTGGGCACCAACGTTCAGATTTAAGACTGCCTCGCTTTATGCATAGGAAAATGAGTGTTTAAGGAAAATAGACCTGCAGTCTCAAGCAGTGGTTCCTAGACTTGTGGTCTATCAGACGCACCCCAGAGGTTTCAACTTAATGGGAAGCAGAAACCCAAGCGTAGACATTAGAATTTGCATGCTCCAGGTGATTCTACATACTAGATGTAAGTGACTGAAAGCATGCAAAAATTATTGGTGTCGAACAGGCCTCTACCTCATGCCTGCTTTACATGGCTACATCCAAATGGGAAATGGTTCCAACATGGCATAGTCATGTGAGAACTGGCCAAATGTGAGGATACACAGATAGATTTTTCGGGAGCAAGATTCAATTCATTTTAAACAAGACAGTTAATGTAATGCAGTGAACAGAGGTTTTTCCTGGACTCTTTTCTCTTGGAAGGTACATGCTGCGCCTACTACTCAGTCTGTGCAGTTATGTGTGGTCCAGTGTAAGGCCAGTGACATAAAGCTGTCGAGTGGTGGCAGCTCATGATCAGGACCAGCCATTATTGCCAGAGAGGGAAACTATAATAAATGTTGAGGGTTTGGCAGTTGGAATTGGCAGACAGTCATGTTTTTACAGGCAGGATCTATGAATCTGAAGAGATTTTTACCCCCCTGGGGATTCACATTGAGAAAAAGTCACCTGGTCTCCAACATTCCACACGTGAACAGCCAGTCTGCCATTACCGTCACAGGAAGTTAAGTCCTCACAGTTGGCACAAAGGCTCTGGGCAGACACTGGCAGAGGTGGCAGCAGGGACTCCAGTTTGAACTTCAGAAGTGAGCCTTGCTGGGCTGGTCTTGCTGGGCTGGTAGTGGGAGGAAGGAGCAGCACTAGGACTGCCCCAAACAAATGTCTACAAGGGCACTGCCCTGTCAAAAGTTAGCTGCAGCCATAGGAATCATTCAACAGAAATCAATCATTTTCTCAAGGCTGCCAATGAGGAAAAAAATGACCACGGTGAAAGATTCTAAAGAGAGGACATAACCGGGTCAATAACACTGTTTTCCCTAGGGACCGTCTAGTCGCATCTGTAACAGTGCTACAGTGTCTGTGACCACAGAGTTCTCAGCTGTGAGCTGTGGATGCCCACCCTGGTACCCTGCAAGTGACCCTCACTCAAGGTACGTTTGTGCAACCGAATACACAGGAGCGCGTGGTCAGGATAACCAGAAGGCTCAGGAACCACCACTCACATCTACCCGTCAGCTATTCAGTCTCCCTTCTTCATGGAAAGACAAAAAAGCACTCAGAATTTAAAGTCTGGAAGGTGAGCTCAGAAGTCATCTATTCCTGGATGCTTCCCTTTTCTTAACCAAAAGAGTATACATTAGTGACTGGCGCAGGCCTTTGGTAATGAAGAATACTTAGACTTCTAATTCATGAGAAATGCAAGCATAGTTAACACTTAGTAATGCAGATCACAGGCTTTACTTTTATTGTAAATAACCAGTGGTGCTGTGTGTGAGCATACACACTTCAACACAGGAAGACAAAGCTTGTTGAGGATGTTGCCCAGGGAAGCAGGCTGGCACTCTCCCAAGAGGGTTCAAAGTAATAAAATTTACCACAGTCCAAGGTGGTGTTTCAATTTATTTAACTCATTCCCAGACTCACTGATAAATGCAAAAAAAAAAAATCTATGCCTTACTTAATATGATTTGGAATTAAAAATTTGATAAGGGGATTTATGGAAGCAGCTGGGGAGCTGACTCAATGCAGTGCTTGCCACATAAGTACAGGAACCCGA